AAATTGAGCGTTAAGGCAAAGGAAGTTATGACCTTGAATAGGACCGCATCATCCTTGAGAAACTTTGGCAAATTGCTGTCACGAAGTGCCCGAATAAGCACCACTTCTTCTGGTTTGTCCAAATTTTCACGCTTTAATGAACCTGCCATCACGAGGACTGATTTGACTGCGCGCATGCCGAAGTCATAATGGTCCTGCTGCGAGAGCTGTTCGCTGCAGAGTTTGTACATCTGAGTCATTTTCTGGGCGAGGGTCTTTGACGACTCGAAGCCCTCTGAGTAGAGAATGACCTCAGCGATTAGACCTGCATAAAATGTTAACATTACTTATGGATAAAGGTAAATAGAAATGGTAACACAAAACAAATTCTATTTAGGTATTACGCAACAATTAAGGCCGACATTGAGGGTGTCTGGCTTGAGTAAAAGAACTCTACAGCTACGATCGCTCAATAAATATGGTCAGATTTCGTCTCTAAACACGTCCAGGAAAAACTATGGTACAACTCGAAGGTCGTAGAATGCCTAAAATATTGTTAAACTTCCAAAAGCTGATTACAGCCTGCCGCCCTTAAGTGATGCGTGCATATTGTTGACTAGCTTCAATTATAGTAAGAGCATATGATGAGGAGATTCTTAGGTAGACCAGAGACGATTGCAGGTTCCTCTTTGAAAGTTTCTCAAACAATAAAAAGTACGATGTCTAAGTATGCGTGGCGAAGCTAACTATCATAAAGCACCCTCTATGTAACAAGATCCATTTTAATCGTGAGTGTATTTGAGCCTCACATAAATCTTAGGGATCCTGATGAATTCCATTTCACTGCGATTGAACAAGCAACCGGTATTCCCCAGGCAGATTTGTCTGATCGACATTTCTCTGAGCGACTAATCTCTTTAAGATGTTAAACTGCCCTGCCAACTGTGAAAAAAATACCTGGTCCTGTGCTAATAGGGGTGGCAGTCATAGACATGCAGTTGAGATCATGAGAGCGAGTGGAATGTGTATATATGTGCATTCAAAGTGGTCTGACTCACGGTAGTCTGGCACCATCATGGAGATGGGCCTAAAAAGTGCCTTTAAGTTGTCTGGCAGCTCTGTACGTCCAGCGTATCCCGGGTTCATCGTGATGAAAGCAGCGCAGCTTGAAACGAGCTTGATCTCTCTGCCTTCAAACATGAAACGACTTAACTGAAAAATAAGGGTAATTAAGAGATAATTGTTATGATAAACAAACAAGAGCCATGACAGCACTAAAAATTTGTTTTCCAGTCTAGGTTGCTCAGAGGTGATTCAATGGCCAATAGTAAAGTTTTCACACAAACAGCTGAACAGGCCTCAAGATATCATTGGATTTCACCCAATCTTGTCTCCCAAAAGGCTATCTCATCCAGGGTGGGCTGCAGTTTTTACATGGCCTCGCTGTTCCTTCAACATCAGCAAAAATATTTGAAATAGCCACATGAAGAATCGGGCCGCAGGGCAGATGTGACATTAAGAGGCAAGCCAGGCCCTTCCTAAACTAGAATTAGGCATGAATAAAACAAAAACAAATAAAACTAGTAGTCTCAAAACTCTGCTTATAAACGAAAAAAAATATTGTGACATGGCATTCCATTTCGAAGAAAAAGTTTGTTGGAGGGAATTAATGATGTCGTCTCACCGGAAACCGAAGGAGGATTGCCGCGTAGGGAAGACTATCGAATTGTGCGAAGAATACCTTGGCTTACAGTCCTGCGAACCCGATGAAATTGTGCTAAGCTTTCGTCTCTACTGTAACACATCATCAGAGCGGGTATCCATACTTCACGAAATAGAGCAAAAATATATTAAACCAAGAGAAAAGGCGGCCGGCTGCAAAGATAATCGCTTTTTTATAAACCTGACTTCGCGATCTTAATGATGCATCCCATGATATATTTCGTGAGTAGGTTTTCGAGACTACCAATAAATCATATATATGAGTTGTATCACCCAAAAGGTATTCTCATCCAGGGAAAGGCTATGTGAAATTAAATGGAAACGTCGTCTCTACTCATATCATTGTTAGAAAAGTCAGCTACCAGTCCTTCATCATCTTAAACGAAACAGGGTGAACACAACTCATATATCCCATAATTTAGTTGGCTTCTTCAACTTTACTCTAGATGCTTGCAAATGAGGGAAGTTACTTCCCGAACCGGAAGTGCGTTCGGTGGCAACTGTTTTCTTACACAAATAAACCACTATACGATCCTATAATGTTGAATAATGTTTGGGCTTGTGCTTTTCTCTATTGTCCATTTGTAATGTTCATGTCTTGGGAAGTGTGATAGTCCTGGCTAGACTCGAGGCTAATCCAGCCTCCTCTTGTTCCATGGCTCTTCCTGCATTCCCTTTCTCTCCCTCCCCTCATGCCTATTTAACAGCAACACATACTTCCTACTCCGTTTTCTACACTCGTTTCTCTTATTCACGAAGTTGGCTGTTTTGTTCATTTCTATGGACTCCTTAATCTTGCGCCGTGACGTAAAGTCCCCGTAACCCGCAATAAGGTGTGTTTTGGACCAGTCTATTGAGCATCCTGTATTGGCTATATGTTGAGCGAATTCCGATTTTTCGACCCACACACCTTTACAAGCGGTGAATGCAGATCTCCCCCACATAGACCCTACCACATTAGCACAAAACCTTGTAGCCGCCTGATTTAGAAAGAGGGTCTGAATATTTTCTAAACGAATGAATTACTGAAAAAAGTCTTAATTTTTCTTTATACATTGTTTTTGTGTTTCACTTCTTCAGTAGATAACCCAACTTTTTCGCAAGCTGGCACGAAGGAAAAATCAGGAAACAAGTAGAATTGTCCAGTTTTATATCCCGTGCCTGTATGCAGAGTCTACTAATTTTTTTAACTATAACTGATATGAACTTGTCTACCAATCCTAATGGGTAATTGTTTCGAAACAGTATATTCCTTAATCTACCAATCTCCCGGTCCCTATGGTTTGCATCTGCTAGACGCAGAATCCTTATTATTATAGACTTCTTAACTCCTATTTCGACTCTATATGTATGGTTCGAGAAGAAATTGATGAGGAATCCGACTTGTGTGTGTTTCCTATATACGTCTCTACCAAACTTATTGCCTACTTTACTCACCAATACACCGAAAAGAGGAAATTTTTTTTTCTTCTAACTCCATGATAAACTTAGTTTTTGCATCTATTATAGTTCTTAGCTCAAGGAGTTCCCTTAAACAGCAAAGTAATCGTCGATATAGCGAGCTAATAACTTGAGACTAGGAGTGTCTCTTAAAGCACACGAACTTCTAATTAGGCCATGTAGTTATTAGCTACAATAGGAGCTTAATAAGATCCCTTAAACAAGCCTCGTGTCTGCTCATACAACTTGCCCTTGAAGGTAAAATATGCATTATACATTGCAAAATTGACTAATCTAATGATCGAATCTTTGCCTGACTTTTAACCTGTTATACTTTCATGGTGTTGATCCAGAGTTAATTCTAATGACTTCATATGCAGCAATCCCACTTCGGTTTCCGGTAAGATCACATTACGAATTCCTTTTAAACAATTTTTCCTTCGAAATGGAAAACCAGGTCACAATTTAACCCTAAGGAAGTCTTCGAGACCCAATTTTTTTTAATAAAACATATAAATGCCAGTGCAAACTACAACATTACTTAGTTTCTGGGCGAGTAGATTTTGAGAACAGACGTAATTTTTGAATAAGATCTTAATCAGTCTATGTCGCAAATGATAATTTAAGGGAAAGCGACCTTAGGCGGCTAAGTTCTTATTCCTGATCGTTGAATTTCTTTTTGTTGTCCCTCTTTTAATCTCCTGTTTATCAGGTTTCTTTAAAAGAGGATATCCACAGCCTCCCTGATCTTTCGTTTTCTGGTGTTTTCTCCATATGAGACCAGTCTTTCAGTTGTATTCCAAATAGAAGACAGCACCATCTTGATCTTTATATCTACAATCTAGAACTTTTTTCATTTCGTAACCAGGCCTAAACATGAAGTCAATCATTCCGACACGAATCACATTCTAATGTATGATGTAGTGATGATGGAAACCTCGTACACTTTATTTAACCTATCAAAAACACAGATAAAAACCAATTTCTCTTTAGTCTGTGCATAAATGACGAATGCACAAGCACAAATGAGGAGAGGAATTAAGCATCCTAATAAATATGGTCTGTGGCAGGTTTTATGCATATTAAGAAGGCTGCATTAGCTTAAGACCATTTTGCGATACAATCTGGTGAAGAGTATGCTTGCTCGTGAGCACCCGCAAATTAAGTTCGAATCCCACTACATCTAGCGACGAAATCTAGACAAGGTTGCAAATGGAGCCCAGCATAGCATAGAAGATTTTAGGCCTGTGTGGGCAAAAGAATGCAGCTAAGCATAGCCCTGGCCAATGGATTTGTAGAGGTGGAATGGAAAAGATTGGACACTAAAAGGGAATACTTAGAAGTAGAAAAATTAGATGGGCGAGCGAGAATATGAGGTGGTGAAAAGAGTGAAATAGGCAAGATGTCGCAGGGCCTGAGCTCATACCTTGGCTGCCTTGGCATTTCTGATAGTTATAAGTTGTTGGGCGATAACCGAGAGCACCTCAATATCGATCCTGTTAAACTCATCAAAGCAGCACCAGGCACCTGATTGAGCCAAACCTGAGAAGAAGCGACCCATCATCTTGTAGTCAAGACCGTCGGAGCAGTTGAATACAACGCATTGCTTAGCTAATGATTTCGCTAGATCCTTAGTGGTTTCAGTTTTGCCAGTGCCAGCGGGTCCTGCCGGAGCTCCGCCGAGGTCCAGCTGAAGAGCGCCCATTAGACAGAGGTAACATCTAAAATAAAATTTTGTAAAAATTAATGAAACAGACTAATGGATAAATAAAATACTATAAAATGTAAAATGCAATAAAATAAATAAATGATATAAAAATAATCCAAAAGGGAAAGGGCATTTATTGGTAGAAAAGGTGATTAACATTAAGACTAAAACACACGAGGATCAAAAGAGGTTCGGCAGGCAACTGGATTGTGCACACCATAAACTTAATTTTACCCTCTGATGCTGGCACATCTTTCATTTTTTTGAGAAGGAGGGTGGAAGGGATTCGTAGATTGGCCTCATCGGATGCCGAAAGAGGATTGCCTTGGACTTTTGTCTGTTGAATTGACCTATAACCCCGACAACTTCGTGCTGAGCTTTCGTCCGTCATGTGATCAACATCGTCAGCCACAAATCATTATTCACGAACAATCACCAAAAAGCCTAAACCAGGAAAGGTGGCAAGCTGAGATCCTACTTACTTATTATACCTCATTTTAAGATCATAACGAGGCATTCCATGATTTGGTTGGCTGACGGATGATTGTCCTACGTGCATGTAAGTGGGTCAAAGTGATGCAGGCAGGAAGGCGGATCTGGTCACAACTTTTGTCAATGTAAATAAACTAGAGTATGGTTCAGTAGTCCTGGGTCTCGTTATATCTTCGTGGATGCGTGTTTGCGTGTGTATGCCAGACAGCAACAACGATTTGGTTGGCAATTTTAGGTCAAAAAAACAGACTTCAGCTTAGTCAAGTCTTCTCCTCAGACTCAGTGGCTCTTCCTGTTCCCTTTCATTTTCTCTCTCTCTCTCTCTCTCTAATTCTATTTAGCAGCCAGAGATAGTTCTTACATAGTTTCCTACATTCAATTATCTTATTCCAGATGTTTCTTGTTTTGTTACTTTCAATCGACTCTCTGGTCTTCCGTTTAGCTGTGAAGTCCCCATATCCGGCAAGACATTGGGATTTAGACCACTCCATATGGTGTCCTCTAGCGATCACATGTTCAGCCATCTCCGATTCCTGAACCCATAAACTTCTGCAGGCGGTTCTGTGTTCTGATAGCCTCTTATGTATGGTTCGACAAGTCTCCCCCACACAAACACTACCACATGAACACAAAACCCTATAACAACCTGATCTGTATAGGGCTTTTGAAGATGCTCTAAAGGAAGGCATGATCGAGGAAAGCATTATTGTTTCTTTATACCTGGTCTTGACGCTCCATTTCCTCAGTAAGAAACCTATCTTTCTTGAAAGCCTGCAGGATGGTAGCATTAGGAAGCTGGTCGAAGCGTTGTCTAATTCGTTGTTTTGTTTCAAATAATGGTTACATTTAAATCTATTTCTTATTATTTTTGAGTTGTTATCAATTAAACCTAACAGATAAGCGTTCTACACTAAAAGTTTTATATACTCATCACTTTACACTAATTGCCAGGGAATTTAATCACATTAGATTAGTAAAAGTAAGTTTTCAGCGTAGTATTATCCCTAAGTTTTGTATTCTTGATAGACTTCATTTGCCAAATAGAACTAATATTGATCTTATAAAAATATCTCCTGATTTGGTTGAGAAATGACTCCTTCAAAAGCTTACACTATTACATATTTTGATACGAATACAAACGATACTAGGACAACCTCTGTCTGATTCTCTTTATTCTGAGGATTTTCTGAAATCTTAATCGATGTCTGACACATTATGCGATGTAGTATTTCTTCAGGTAAGGAAGACTCACGATAAGAAACTTAAGAACTTAGGAGTTAGATTTAGACCTTTCAAAAAATAGTCGGAATTCATCCGCATCAGAAGAGAAAATGAAAATAGGTCTAAATGTAGTTATTTTTTGTATCTAAGTAGATTTTAGAGACCACTAGTAAATCAGTAATATGAGATGTATTCACCCTATTTCGTTATACTACTAGTCCTTCATCACCTTAAACGAAATAGGGTGAATACATCTCATATTAAATGTAGTTAACCTATTCAAGACATTGGACATTACTACTGAGTAAGTTCTATCTAGAGGTCTTAATCATGCTCTGTCAAATAGTGAGAGTTTCATTAAAGAGATTTTAGTAGAGGCTATTAACTTTACTGACGGATTAGCAGAACAAACTAAAAATAAGATTGAAATACAGGTTTTTGCTCTAATTGACAATCATGTAGAACGACCAAATAGGAATAGGTGGGTTAATAATATCACTAAAAAGCTTAGACAATACGAGAAAATAGTTTTGAGGACAGACAAAGGAGGGGTAATTATAGCTATGGCTAGGACAGAGTATCTAGGAAATATGATGCGGAATTTAGCTGATTTCGATACGCATAGAACTATAACTAAAGTCCCTACAGAAATAGTAAAGTCGAGACATAAGAGTTGCCTGCAATAATGCGTTAAAAGTGGAGAATTGGAGAAATGGGAAATGAATGTACTTCTCCAACGTGACATTAGACCTCCTAACGCATATGGTTTGACAAAATCCAGAAAGAGGGAGTCCCACTTAAGTTCGTTGTAAATAATAGGGGTGGTGTGATGTATAGAATATGATGATTCCTTTCTTTTTAATTAAAGTATATCTCAGGTTTTTGGAAATTTTCAATCAAAAATTCTTATGACTTTTTAAGTCAATAGATGATAAAATTATAGAACAAGGAGATCTGCTAGTAAGTTTTGATGTAGTATCGATGCCCTCGAATATACCGGTAAGTGGGGTCATACAGGCATTAGAATTAACTTTAGACCTACACCCAAAGATTATATCAGAAAATAAGATAAGCAAGGAGTCAATCATGAGATTGACGAACTTACTAATGAATAGCACATATTTTATTCTTAATGGTAAATTGTAAGGGTTCGTGTTTGTTTCTAGTCTTAGCTAATAAGTCCATGTCTCAATTACAAGGGCGTATTTTTCAAAAGTCTTTCTTAATTCCGAAACTTCTGGTCAGAAATATGTATGATTACTTTGCTATCTCGCAGCATGGCAAAGAGTGTTTGGATAACTTCCTGATTTCAATGAATAGAGCATATAAGGCGACTAGATTCACTATGGAGTTAGAAAAGCACAATAAGCTACCCTTTTTAGGTATCCTGGTTAGTAAAGAAGGGAGCAAACTTGGTAGGGCTGTTAATAAGGAACTCATGATTGATGGTTTTCTTCTTAATTTCTTCTCGAATCAAACGTATGGTGATAAGATGGGCGTAATGAGATTAATGATAATAAGGAGTTTACATCTAGCAGGACAAGAACAGGAATTTGAAAAGCCGAAAAAAATCTAAGTTGAGAACGATTATCCGTTGGGATTAATTGAAAACAATTTGAAAATACTAAGAAATAGAGATAAATGAAACAAAACAAGGGATTAGACAACGCTTCGGCCAGCTTCCTAATGCTACCATCCTGGAGGCTTTTAAGAAAGATAGGCGACTTACTGAGGAAATGGAGCTTCAAGACTAAGTATAAAGAAACAATAATGCTTTCCTCGATCATGCTTTCCATTAGAGCATCTTCAGACGCCCTATACAGATCAGGTTGTTATAAGGTTTAGTTCTAATGTGGTAGTGTTTGTGTGGGGGGGACTTGTCGAACCATACATAAGAGGCTATCAGAACAGAGATTTATGGATTCAGAAATCGGAGGTGGCTGAACATGTGATCGCTAGAGGACACCATTTGAGTGGTCTAAATCCCAATGTCTTGCCGGATATGAGGACTTTACAGCTAAACGGAAGATCAGAGAGTCGATTGAAATTAACAAAACACGAAACATCTGGAATAAGAGGAATGAATGTAGGAAACTATGTAAGAACTATCTCTGGCTGCTAAATAGAATGAGAGAGAGAGAGATAAAATGAAAGGGAACAGGAAGAGCCACTGAGTCTGAGGAGAAGACTTGACTAAACTGGAGTCTGTTTTTTTGACCTAAAATTGCCAACCAATTCGTTGTTGCTGTCTGGTATACACACGCAAACACGCATCCACGAAGATATAACGAGACCCAGGACTACTGGACCATACTCTAGTTTATTTACTTTGAGAAAAGTTATGACCAGATCCGCTCCCCTGCCTGCATCACTTTGACCCACTTACATGCACGTAGGACAAGCATCCGTCAGCCAAGCATATCATGGAATGCTTGCCACCTTTCCTGGTTTAGGCTTTTTGGTGATTGTTCGTGAATAATGATTTCTGGCTGACGATGTTGATCACATGACGGACGATAGCTCAGCACGGAGTTGTCAGGATTTTAGGACGATGTGCCGAGGTCTTCTTCGCACAGTTGGACAGACAAAAGTCCAAAGCAATCCTCCTTTGGTATCCGATGTGGCCAGTCTACGAATCCATTCCATCCGCCTTCTCAGACGAAATGAAGATTCTTCAAGAACCAACTTATCTTTATATCCCATATGGAATGCCTAATTTGTCAAGTTTCTACGACGGCACCGGTAGAAGGCCTCATGATGCCATTGGGCTTTGTTCGGCTTTGTATGAAGTGAAGTTTATGCCTCACCTGGGTCTTATTATAAACCCAGTGGGATTCAATTTGTGACCTTCAAAGCAACCCAGACGCTCTCTTTATGAGTAACATTTTTCAAGCAAATGCTGGGAATAGGTAGAGATTTGAAGTCAATTG